TTTACTTATTATTTATTCTTTTTTTATAAGTTCTAACTTTTATTCCGAACCGTTTTGCTCTGTTTGAACACATAACATCCGGATTGGTTTATGAACCGAAGGAAAAATTGAAAGTAAGCGATTCCACACAATTGCAGTGATTGTGTGAAATGTTTTTAATGGGAACGTCAATATTAATCTTCAAGCCTTCCATCCTTCACTCGTTTTCTTTTCTGCCTCTTCATCTCAGTTTTCACATAGTTATTCAGTTAAATGCTCGATAATTTTCACATTTTTATTATTTCGTGAAGTATTTTGTGGTTCATTTTTGATGATTCGTAAATGAATTAGACTATTCTTGATAGAGAAGGAAACTGGCGTTCGGAATTCTGTGAGTGGAATTTCCGTCAGTGCATCGTTATCGTCAATTTGAAATCACTTCTAAATAAACTGGTATCACAAGTCGAGATGAACATATTTTATGCATATGTGCTCGTTTGTAGCCAATTACGGCTCGAGAATCGAAAAACAAGGAAATAAACAGAATGAATAATGGAAGAAAGATAACGACTGTCGAATAGATGCATCAATTATAAATTCTGGTTGAAATGATTTGATAGGAAATATTGGAGATGAAATGCTTATTTCCATATCATATTACACTCTAATTACTCAAATATTACTTTCTGAGTTTTGCTTCAAATTTTCAGGAATTTCATTGAGTGTTTTAAACATATGGAAAATAACTTTCATCTAGTCAACTTCCGCTAATGATCCAAACGATTAGCAGTTAGAGCACGAGCCTGTTTGTTTATTTATTTTTTCACTACTGATGAACGTCATTTATAAAATGTTATGAGTAATCCAGCTGAATGGAGGGACTGAAATTATTTATTTTCATTCGTTTTTTTTGATAGAAAATGGAGATGGTTGGAAATGATTTACCATACACAAATATAAAATTATGAATAGAATATAACGCTGCTGTGCTGTAATGTAAATAATATGAAGGGATGCAACAACAAAAAAATTTGTATGAATTGAAAAGGAATTTTCATTTCTCCATTCGTTCATTGTGCTTTCGTTATAGTGAAAGTTTTGAGGGAAGAAAGGCAGCCGCAGAAGTAGAGGCGAGCATTAATAAATTGAGTGATGTAAGCATAATTGGATGCGTTCGACCGTTCGCTCGGTAACCATTTATGGTGTCAGCAAGACAATCTTCTTCTACCTGTACTTAGTTATCTGCGTGAGCAGCCAGTCACCATCTTATTGTATGCTTCATAGCTACAGCAAATCCTACTCTTTTTCAGGGTGAACAGAAAGATGTTCGTTGTCTCACCGCATTCGATGAACATTATCGAACGTTATGGTTTCCTTCCTATGGACATTCCACCTCATCATAAACAATTAACTTCTTCATTTAGTTGGTTGTTGCATAGTGATACATTTCACATTCAATTCTCACGTGCCCAAATGATAAAATTTAAAAAGTACCACTTATGATGTAGATATTATCAACAGAGATTAAAAACGATGAGGTAGAAAACTGAAGAAGGACACAAACAAACTGCTTCACTTCATCAGTTAATGTTGACTGACCATACTTATTATTCAAATATCCAACAATTCATATATGTATGTACATACAAATCGACAATTGTGGTCATTCAAACAGCAAATTAAGCATATAAACCCAACAATAATATTAGTTTAAAATCATAACAGACTAGCAATATCAGTTACGTGAATGTCGTTTTGATTAGAACTGAAATTTTAGCTGTAAACTATTGACTGTACGGATGGAAGAAACGAACGAATCGATGAATACCATTAACGGTGTCAATATCAGCTTATAACTGGAAAGCATCATTCATAAGATTTAGTTGTTGTGATCATAAAATCTTTAGTGCTGACTATTGCACATTCCAAGATTGTTATCGATGAGATGCAATTGAAATGTGCTGTAATACGAAATAAAATAGATGTCTATCCCCAAAAACAGATCGATAAAAACAATTTCTTATGGACCTATGGGCTTTTTCATCGAAATTTTGAAATTATGTTATTCGCCGTCACCATCGCGATGTGAAGATTTTAAAAATTCTGTTGAGATTAATTGGCTTTGTGTTGTGCTTCAGCAATGACCTGCTCAATGATGACACGTATTCCTTGCCACGTTTCCTCAGCTGTTGGCACCAACCAATGTGGCTTTAACTGGAACGCAAACCAAGCTGAAAAGAAACTAAGAAAGATGAAAATAACTGAATAATCACTCCCAATTGGAGCTGAATCATTTGCATAAATCAATTTTGAGCTATCAGTTGATAGAATTCCGTCAAATAAAAGTAACCAAGTTTTCTATTAGTACTTCTTATCAAACGCATTTGATTGGATAACTGTTCAGTTGTCATGCAATGATCAAATGAACATTGAAATTTATTTCTTAGAGATTTCTTAGAAACACTCATTAAAGTTTGTTTCAGACTCCTGTCAAATGCTGCACGGAGTAAGCAATCATTCGTTCACTTGAATATGAACTAAACCGAAAGGAAAATAAAGAAAAATGATCGAGCGAGATCGCTTAATGCTGGAACGGTGAAAGGAAGCTTTAAAACCACAAAACTGATAGTATTAAACGAGATTTAAGGATATCGAATGAAAATTTTAGAAAGCTATTGTGAATTTATTAAAGAATTTTCTCGTCAAAGCGCTGAAGATGGGATAATCAGTTGAATGATAAAAAATGAGAACGAGAAGCGTAATTTTAGAAAAACGCTTTTAAGACACCTTTCAGAATAAGCCACTTCAAAATATGAAGTTCATCAAAAGAACGAACAAAGAGCTAAGTAAATATACATGAAAGTTGTGGAGGTAATTCAATAACGTAGACATATTTCGTTGGTGTCGATTTTTTGATCCAATCGGTCGCGCCACCAGTTGCTGGACCTTTAATTGTTGGATGCAATCAAATGTTCGTTAGCAGAGCTGATTATTTTAAAAAGTCTCATTTTTGCAAATAATCATACTGAACTGTTGGCGTAGTGAGGGTCAAGAAATTTATATGATAATACATATCACGAAAATAATCATACTGCCAAAAGAAGAAAACTCACCAATGAGATCAGCTGCAGTGCCGAGTTTGTATTTAGTGCCCTTGACAGAAAGAATTTCGTTGATGACTTTTTCAGCAAGATTTCTCTGGAAAAGAAAGAGAAAAATATTCGATAAAATGGAATGTATGTGAAGAAGTGACTCCACCAGTTATCTTATCAATTAGAAAAGGAATGGAATAGCACAGAAACAAATGTTCAACAAAAATAAATCTCACAAGATCTTCAATATCAGGAGGATATGTTTGACGTTTATGGTTGTATGGTAATATGAAGAATTGCCCGTGCGTATGCATACTGACCAGTGCATCAAGTTTATAAAAAATTTCTGGTGAAAGTATAAAATTCCGAACTCCTCTGAAAAGTGTATTACTTGAGCAACATAATGGGTTAGCACAACAACATAGTTTATGAATTTTCGAAGTCGACACCAATGAATCGAATGAAGTTCTACTGAAGAGATGAAATTAGCCGATTCGTGAATAAATGGCGATTTTACGAAGGAGTGATCAATACGTCAAAAACTCTTCTAAAATGAATTCGATCACGATGGTTGATAAGCAATACTAACAACGATGAATATGATTACTAATTAATAGCAGAAATGTGTGAGCAATACCGTGTTTCAGGTTCACTGAATGGAAACGGCCCTTGAAATTCATCAGAACATGGATTGTCATATGGTAAAACATTATTTACAAAAGCAAAATCATAGTTCCTGTTCAAATCAACACCCATGCAGCAAATACCACCACGATCACCCAATCGCCCCGTACAATTTTTCGGTGCTCTGTTCTTTCTCCAGTGTCTAATCTAAATAAGAATGGATCGCATCGGTATTTCAAAACAAATAATTTATATATACAATGATTTTTATTGAAAGTTTCCGCATCTCTGTCCACTCGAAAAAAATTGAATGAAAATCTGTCATATGTAACCAATAGTAAAATTCACCGATCTTCATTCAAATTTTTCTTGGATGGTCAATGCCAAGATACTACACACTTTTAAAGTATCATCACATCAATTTCCGAAAAAAACATTCACTTTAGCATTCAGCATTTTTGGTCGTCGTTCGAGTTTCCAAGGGTCAATCATATGAGATTTATCTGCATTTTTCAAAATTTTGAATTACCCAAAAAACGCCAAACTTTTTTCCCATAGATTCAAAATCTCTCTCGTATTGCAGTAAGATTAGTTGCATTGTTAATGCAAAAACAAATGAGAATGATTGGTGATTAAACAAATTCGCGTTCACTGACCAGTGCTTCATTGGATGTTAAAGAGAACTCGAAACCATCAGGATTAAGTATTGGAAAGACGTAAATGTTGAGTTTATTAACGTAGTTCGTTATATGATCATCAATTCCATAGTTTGTGATTAACTAGAAACAAAACTGGTCACTCAATAAAAACAGAATCAGTTGACTACTGGCTGTACATCACTGGGAGATGACTGCATCAGAAATTTATGAACGCAATTCTGTATTGTGTGTTTTACAATTCGAAAAAAAAAACAATCGAAATTCAATTCAAAAAACCTGATCAATGATATAAAGAGCCGTATGAAACGCAGGCCATTCCCTAGCATGATTTCCTCCATCCAGCCATACTGCACGCTTGTTTGTTGAGTTTGCTGGATAGCCAATCTTCAATAATCAGGCAATCAAGTAATTCATATAAATCCTAATTGACAAACTGTCACAATCTCAATCAGGTGAGGATGGCATAGGCTTTTATTTGCAAATCTTATAGAATGAATCTTCAACGGAAAATGTTCTCTCTTCCAGTAGATTTGAACGCATTGGAATCTTCAGCTAGAACTGAATTATTTTAACATGAAAAAATGTGCAGTACGCATGTGCTTTGAAAATGAACCATCTAAAATTTAACTGGAATAAAATGAAAAGTTAAAAATGCTTTCAGATGATATGCTCAGTTGTTGAAGAATAAAGCAGTGATCGTTAAGGCTTCTGGAAAAGAAAACTGTAAAGAGCATAATTCATTATGGGATCAGTAGGCCAGCTGAAAAATTCCAGGTGCTTCGCCACCTCAAATATGATCACATATAATACCTTGACAATCATCGATGTATGATACATATTATACGATGAAGTTCAGTTATAGCTCTGCGAATATTTAGAAGAAATATTAACGTTACTGGGGAAGATGTGAAAAATGGACTCGTGAATGGGGTAAATAGGGAGGATGAACGTTTACGAGAAAATTAATTGGATCATTCAAAAATCTGAAGCGTTCGCAATCAACTGTTTAGTAAACAGTGCTCACGGATCATTGATGTCTGATACATATTATACGATGAGACAAGCGTAACGTTTGGTTATAGCTCTGCGAATAAATGACATGACATGAATTTGTAAGCCAGAACTAGAAAGATAAACCGATTGCTTCCGAATTTAAAGGTAAACCATCTGAATGAGCTTTCATAAATGATAGAAAATGAATGATTAACTTATACCTTAACTCCGAGTAATTTACGCCCCTCATGTGTTGTTCCAATATCACGAAGCTGTACGAATGACGGATTCATTCTGCTCACATTTGTCAAGTATCGTTTCACCTCATAGTAATCATGATAACGATTGAAATCAATCGAAGGCGCTCTACCTTTTATTTTGGTTGTTGTTGTTGAGTTCTTCTCTCTGAGAATTACTCAGCTTGAAATATAAATTTGGTGTTGAATAATTTAAAACTGCTGCGGTCGGTAAGGGAAGCATCAACATAAATTGTTTCCAACAGAACTGTGTATCAACATTCAAAATTACTTACTGATGGGCATTGAGAAGCGTTAGTTGACAGAATAAAAATGGTATGATTATCATTTTATTCAAATGTTGAAGGAGAAGAATTGAGCGGCTCTGATTGAGTCAGTGCAGCACAGATTAACAATATGTACCCGTGTTGAGTTTGTGTTCGCTAAAAACATAATGTTTTATTCAACAGATAATGTGAAACACTGCCCAAAGCTCTGTTCTTAAATATAACCGTTTCGCCGTTTCAATATTAATATACTCGTAATAATACTCGTTCATGCCATTACTATCAATCCTTATTAATTTTATAGCCTTTGCAACGTGATCTGACATTTACGTTTGCTAATACCACATTTCTGAGATGCGATTCGCTGACTTAATTCAAGTGAACGAACAAGTGCGATTCAGTCTACCACTGAGATAATGAAAGCAGTCTGTCGAAACTTGAATTAATCGCCCTTTGACGAGTGTCACATTAATGCTTCTGAAACCAGAACCTATCGTATATAAGGAGAATGGAGGAAAGAATGAGAAGGAAGAATGAACCGAGGATGAATCGATAGATTGTAAATTGAACTGATACAAGAACAGTTCGTGAGCGATGTTAGTGGCAGACGAAGATGTCTATGAAGTAGGATAATTTCACACCGTTTCAAGCAATGAACTTCGAGTAAAGAAGAAATGCTTTTTTCATATGGCTAAAAAATTAGTACAAGGTTATTCCCGCAACAGAAAAGTTCACAAGAGAGAAGAGGTTGTCGAGAATGATACTGAATGATTCAAATCACGTCGAAGTGCTAGAAGAACAGAGATGCTTTAAGGTCATTGGATAAAAGTAATATATTATTGATTGACCAGAAAAAGAAATTCGATGAATGAATGTAAAAAAATGAAACGTAAATGGATAAAGAGGACATTTTGTAATGTGTGATAGTAATACGGATGATAAGTTGCAAAAAGTAACATCGACTATTCATAAATGTTCATTATCGATGCGATGCGTATGCTACGACTGATAAGTGCTGAACTGAACTGGTTTAATTAATTCAACTCAATTATTACTTTATTCCTGTCTTTTATTGCTCAACTGACTCGTTCCCATAATGAACTGTCACTTTTCATCCATGTGTGTTATCTCCATTTATGTATTGCCTCATATAACTGCTTTTCTGTTTGACCGTTTTCCCCTTGAACACTGAGTAATACATTTTTTTGTGGATAGATAATGAGTGCTATTTTTCATCAAATTACTTTGAAAAACTGTAAAATATGGCTCATATTTTGGTTTAGCATTGCTTTCGTGAGCGTGGTAATGATATCGCTGCAACACACATATTCCACTAGAAGGACTGGTGAATAAGAACAATTTTAAAACGACACATAGTTTGAAGAAGGGATTTATCAAAAAGACATGATCCACACTCATAGAATTTTTCCCATCTGCCAAGGATTATAGTTGACCAATGGATCACCGCCATATTGAAATGAGGCTGCAGTCTTGTGAACTGGTATTCCAGGAGAAAGCGAACATTTCTTCAATGAAACATCAGAATGACTGATTCTAAATGTGAAGGTATGCACAATGATGAATGAGACTACGTATGGTATGAAATTGAACTGTGACAGTTTATCTTTCCTCCTGGCTAGTAGAGAATTAGAAAAAATGCATCAAGCGCCTGGACGCTTCTCAGTAGACGTACAAGATAAAGAAGTGGACGATATGATCTGACAAACAGTAATATCTATGTCGATAGGTCAGGCTCAACAAGTCTATACCACAATCACAAAAGTTCATTCTACTTGTCATCTAGACAGAATCAGTCATAAAATAAAACATGAAAAAACGTGAATTTAAAAGAATGAATTCAGAATAAAATTCAATGCTCAACGAAGGGATTCAAAATAAAGCTCAAAATCTTGCGCGCCGTTATCATTTAATGCGCGGTAGTATTGCAGAGATTTGCCAAGATCACAATGATATTTCCTAATTGACGTTTTTCATTATGGAATACGAACTTATTTCGGCGGAGCACTCTGGTTCAATTTCTTTACTCTTGTCCCCCTTTTACACGGTTGAGTAGAATATGATACTTGGCATCGCACAGAAACTCGCACAGTTTTGCAATTGGATAGTCATCAGAAACTGGATAACAAAACCAGATTTAGAGAAATCATTCGATGAAGCTTTTCTGCTTGGAAGTAAAGGAACTTCACTACAAAAAAGTGCCACAATCAAAAAGTAACCAGTGCACTCATCAGTTGAAAAACAAATCTGAAACCTTTGAAGCATCCCATTTCACGCAAAACTTTTCAACTTTTAAACTTGCCTATCAGATTGACTTCAAAAAAAGTACTTCATTCAAACAATATGTGAACTATATCGAACCAGTGCGCCAACCGTAAAATGATAAACATCAGAAAATGATTGCGAGATAATCGAGATGATGAAAGAGTGGAAAGAATCTTTTGGAGCGTTTCTCAGTGCGTTGGGTTTTGTGTTTACCAACTCAAATCAACGTTCTCATTAAAGAACTAAAATGCTTCAAAACAAAAGTAAATGCGGATGGTGAATTCGCATGAGTTGATGTCGTCAGTACGTGATCGATACAAACGGATAAAATACTTTATTCGT